ATATGCAATTCAAACTTCAGAAAAACAAGAAAAAAGAGAAGTAGATGCTAAAATGACAAACCAGTTGTAATTTGTGAGATATGTAACATGGTAGTGTAGTGTATTTTATCTCGATCTATTTTAAGTCAATGAATAAGTGATATTTATGGTTTATAGATGTTTAGCATTATGCTACATTATTCTAGCAAGCAATACTAATTAAGACGGAATCGTCTCGACTATATTTATTCATGTGAAATAGATGCTTCATAAAAACAGTTGATTGACTAAAATTCTAAGGCATTATAATTATCAAAGTTAATTTTTGTCTTTTAAGATATACATGTAGTAATAGTTATTACTAATAGAGTAAAATGTTGAATCATTCAATGACTCCTGTTTCCGCTTCAGTTTGGTTTTTTTATTGAATGTCTATCTCAGTATGTCTTGCTCTTTTTCTTTTCTCTTATTTTGTTTTTCATCTTATTTTTCTTTCCTTTTCTAACCTCCCTTACTTTCCTCTTTTCTGTCTTTTTTTTCGTTATGTAGTCAGTTTTTTTCCCAAACAAAAATTACGATGTCATGAGCGATAATAATGTCAATGTTTCGTACGTTTTAATACCAAATATAAATGGCTGACAGTTTCTTTAGTGAAAATTGTCCGTAAAAGCTGTTTTATTTATTTCTATTTTGATCAGTCATAAACAGAATGATTAACACACTTCACCTGTATGCACGAACTCATGACATGAATGACAGTAATTAGAGCTGCATCGGTGCTCCATGGAATAGTTAACTAGTCGAGGAAAATAATATCATTAAAGTTGTGAAAAATATTAATTCAATTACGAATAATAAATTTATGGTACATAGCAAATAGTAGCCGCCATTAGGAGTCTTTACTCTTTCAAATTTTATCAATCAAGTTTGATATTAAAACAACATTTTCCTGGATCTTCTTGTTTTAATTGGTGAAAGTCTTTCAATGATGCCGCCATCTTGAATTGACTTTTCAGTCAAAGTAAACCTTGGGCTTCCTGTGTCTTTGGACTTACCGATAGAACTGACGTTGAGAATTCAAATTGATTGCGTTGTTAATATATATTATTGGATGCCCTGTGTAACGGAACATTCTGGTCATCATGAAATAATCAAGAACATGTAATTAGTTCCAATCAATAGTCGAATCAAATAAACCACCAAGGATACCAGGTCACGTGATGTTAAATTGACATTGACGCGTTTTGAATCCACAGTATATAATACCAATTGAAGATCACTACTGAGTCTCCTTTTCTGCCGGCTAACATTGCTGCAAATGGTCGGATACCAATGCTCAACGACTTGATTCTTCATGTTCTCTTCTCTTGAACATTTTTTTTTCTTTTACGACAAAACACACTCATTTGAGTCGTCAACATTTTCAATCTCCTCCTCTTCAACTTCTTTCGTCTCTTCGATAATTTTATCATCTTCGCTTATACTTGACTTTGGGGTGCGTCGAGCRGGCTCTGTAGGGGAATGTGGTCCGCTGTCTTTACGTTCAGCGGCTTGCTCCTTAGCGGCAGTAAATGAGTCCACAATGGACTGGAACTGAGGTTTGAGGAGGTTCAGAAATAAATTGTAACCAACACTAAAAAGACGAAAGTGATAATAACAATATTAGTCTTAGACTAGGTTTCGATAGAAAAGTTATACCTGTTAAGGTATGGTCTAAAAACGATAAAAAGTCGGCCAGATTCTGGCCTCAAGATCATGGGTTTCTCTTACCATTCTTTCTCGGCCCAAGCTTCAATGGCATTTCTCCCTTCGTTGAGTCGTCTCAGTAGCTCCGGAGTTACATCCTGCAGTGTCACCACYTTGTTGATGCACTGTGTGACAGCAGTACTGTCACGCAATACAAGAGCAAGAAGAAACCACCAATCATAGCACAGAGCTTCCATGAATATTTCCATTAGATATCTGTAACAAAAGGGATCCAATAGAATTCTCAGTCGGGTTAAGCAAAAAAAGGAAAAAGGTCTCGTTTATCGGAATTRGTTTCGGCGGATAGATCAATCTTTTATTCCTCCTGCCGCTTCGCTCTCTCCGATGAGGGAGAAAAGCGCAAGAAGGCCGTAGTACTCAAGTTGATTTACGTCTACTGCTCATAAAATCGTCCCAATCGCATCAAAATACGTTTTGCATAGTTTCGGAAACTAGACCAATGCAAACAATGCGTTTTGGGACGATTTGCATGATTGCATGGACATCAGGGGTTAGTATGTACCAAAATGTTAGACAAGGCTAAAAGAAATTATACAAAACATTTAAAGATTGGTAAAAACCTAGAGCGACTCCTGGGACAGGTTGTACGCAGGATGAATAACGCTATTCACCGGATAAATACTTATCCTGAGCTGATAAAATCCATACAAAATCTAAGGAGCAGATAACTTCAACCGGTGGATAACTTTATCCACCTTTCGTACAACCGGCCCAAGTTGACCATACAAACTATGAGTTGACGAATCGTACTATAACCAATAGCCCGAGGTTAAGGAGCTAATCACAATGCGCCTAAGGATTTCTAATAGACCATAATTTTGGTGAATACTAAATTTATTTGAACTGCAGTATGAGTGGGTCGCCATACCGTATTTCTGTTAACGCTTGCTGACAGCCACTAAACGCCAACTGTTCTTTTATACCATTGATRTCAATAAACCCAATATCTTGCCCGCCCCACAGATAATCATCGTCGGTCGAGTATGCTAACGAGCTGGTCTCGGAATAAGTCCCACTAAGGCGATCCACATCTTCCACTGAAGAAAGAGAATATGAGATGAAACACGCTTCCATTTGTTCAAAGTCTCCGGACATTTCGGAGGGAATATGAAATGATTTGTGCGATTCTGCGATTCAGATCGCAGCTTTTTTTCAAGGCGGAGGAGACATACATATTCCACTATTTAATTAAAACAGCCGCACATTTCCATGAGAGCTGATCTCACGGTGTGCCCGAGTATAATCTTACTCGGCATGGGCAATGTTTCTCTGAATTCATACCCCTTCATTGATCCCCATTAACGTTTGTGAAGGTTAATGAGTGTGAAATCTATTCCCAAGAGACTCGTAAGGAGTTTGAAATGAGATAATAGTCATGCCGAGGAAGAACTTGAACCCTATTGTCAGTTTTCCTTATCACCGAGACGAAAAACAATCATACTGGAAGAGGTAAGTGGCCTCCCGAATGGGAAGCATGGAAGAAAATGTGTGGGGATGATAGGCCACGGTGAAAGCCATAATATGACTTAGGTTTCGATCATGAAAAGAAATAACACGAACGATGTAAAGAGCTTCAAGTCCCTCGGGAACGATCACTGGAAAAAATCGCTCACTTTAAAGGTTGTAAATTGATGTAAATATGATGTAAGTGTCCCAAATTCTGTAAATTTAATGGAAATCATTTACATCAAATTTACAGAATTTTGGACACTTACATCATATTTACATCAAATTTACAACCACTAAAGCGCGCGATTTTTTCCAGTGTATAATATTTAAAGTCCCACTTTTATCCAAGATCCTTTGCGCTCACATTTCTTTTGTTAAACAAATGATCTTTAATTTAAAGTTGCTTTCTGATTGGTTCAAAATCGAAGATCACGCAAAGGTTCTTATGCACCTGGGACTTTAAGGTTACCGGCAAATCCATCCCTAGCAATCATGGTTGCCGCCAAACAATTTTTTAATTGGAACTTACTTTTAGGAGGATGTAAATGAGCTATTTCTACAATGTCCTGTCCTTCCTCGATATCTCCATTTTCTTCATAATCTTGTTTGCTTAACACAGTACTGGTGGATGAGGAGGATGCTAGACGATCTGCAAATAACGCCTGGTTTTATATCTGATTATATATTATACTAAAGAGCTCTAACGATTCTTTTTTTTTCTATGGACATTTCATTAAGGCATCAGAAAGGCATGCCATTCAATTCGTAAAAAGATTCATTCAGTATCGCATCTTTTATAGTGAGAATTATCTTGATAGGTAGCCCCACCTATACATGGACGCAAGGATAGTATTTCAGCTTGCAACGATAGAAACCTGTGAATGATTGCCTTAAGCATGGAAAAAGATATTYATTTATCTCTGCAGGCTCAACCGCTGTCAGGCCTGACCGGTGTCTCGCTTAAAAAGTCATTGCTGCTTTTCACTATCATGTTGCTCGGAAGCGTAAGCTAATACAGCATTTTTGCCAGATGCATTGTCCCCACCCTCATTAAAAAGGAGCAATTGGCAATCCCAATCATGAGGTTATTGCTTGCACAGCAATTTTAATTTTCTACATCTGTTGTGAACACGAGCGAGAAAATGTTGTGACCAAGCCAAAGCCTCGCTTTAGTTCTGCAGAACCAACATCTTGGGAAAGGGCCATTTTGTGCATGGGTTTTTGCATCTTTTATCCCACCATCAATAAGATTGTACTCGTTGATCCTAGCCTGAGTCTCGATCAGGGTTTACCCGTATTCAAGAGGAAAAAAACCCGGATGTAGGTATAGGCGTAGGTATAGGCTACTTGATATATAACATAACACTATAACATGGAAAACTTACCCATACGAGACCAAGGTTTAGGGGATTGTGGCACTAACACTTTGATAGGTTGTTGTGTAATCGTTGGAAGTTGAAGGTCAAATTTGCGGTAAACAGCTAGCAAAGTTTCCACGTAMCCCTCCACTCGTGCAGCTCGAYTTCTACAGTTTTAAAGAGAAACTCGTGAACCACATTCMATAAACTTTCAACAAGGAAATCAATATTATTCAAAAAGYGACACCCAAATATAATAAGYCGGGCCACCTCTGTTATACGAATACATTTTTTAGATGCTTCGCTGTCCGTAATACCGAGGTTTTAAGTGTCAAGTAGCAAATGTTACCTTTCTTTAATAAGCCAGGGAACGAGTTGRAACTCCACGTTAGCTGCAAACCTTCCAAGATCTCGAAGTCGATTTGATGATAATAAAAGTCGGGCATGTCGGTTCAGAATCGTATCGATGAAGTAATTTTCAACAGATTCCACATCACAAGTTTGCCTGCGACAACAACGGTTTAATTAGTGTAAGCGACTCACATAAGACTTACGACATGCGACATACGACATACAACTTACAATTATACTTGCGACTTACGACTACAATCTTCGATATGACAAACGATTTATTGCACTAAAGGTAATTGATTTGTACGACATTACGATGTCCCAAGATCAACTTATAACATAATGGGTGCGACTTACGAAAAACGAAAACTAAAAAAGGAAAATTATAGAAACYAAAACCTTAAAGAAAACAAGACCTACAACTACCATCAAAACACTATACAGACTTAGAAATTTTAAACAGATACATGTACCATACGACTTACGATTTCGAATCTGTTGAAGAAACAGACCCACTCTTTGTCCGCGACAAGTTGTCATGGTAACCAGTCTTACCGGAAGAAGAACCTGTTTTACTTGTTTTGTCYAACGGTTGAGGTCTGTGWGTTTTATCAATTGAACCTCCTCTAGAAAGAGTCCCGCGTGTTGTRGGTTTCGACCCTCGSGTCTGCGGGTTGCCGGTAAAAGAGAASGCCATGTCTTCTCCGTCGACTGATGACACAGAGGGGTGGGGTGGRGAGTGCATTGGTCGATATGTCGGTGAACGTGGAGGTGAATCGAGTTCGCCTTCACTGATGCAGCGGAGAAAGCGAACGAGGTCTTTCGAAATCTGTGAAAAACAGACAATTTGATCATACATAGGTTATTGAAACATTCAAATCTCATTTTGATAATATATGGGATACAGGATCCGTGCAGAGTATCAAAAACGAATTATTTTTTTTCCTTAAAAGGACTTTTCAAGGACTTTTCAAGGAACAAAATTGTATTTTCAAGGAACATCATAATCATGCTACATGTAATTGTACATTCTTACCTCACAACTTCAGCCGAACGGAATTCAGAGATCGCTAGCGCTTCGTGATAGAGATCTATCTTTTTCAAGGAGTTTTCAAGGACTTTTTCGAAATTTCCAAATTTTCAAGGAGTTTCAAGTGCCCTTGAAAACGAGTTTTCAATTCAAGCACTTTTCAAGGATTTAAGGACCTGCAAGGACCCTGGGGATAGGACTGGAGACTATTATGCATGCTCTTACGTTATGACAAGTGACTAACCTCCCATCGACACAGCTCCAGGGCCTTGTCCAGCAGAATTGTTGCATGCTAAAAATACAAAAGTGCCTAACTGTGGTTAAAGACTTATGGAGAGTGAAAAAACAAGCAAAAAGAACAAACAAAAAACAAACGAACAAGCCGGGCATACGAAATAATACAATTATAATGACTATCATCTTGAAAAATAAAGTTGAAAAGACTTATGGGGAGTGAAAAACCATTTAAAAGAAAAACAAAACACAAGCGAAACAAGCCGGAAATCGGAAGAAGCAGCTACTTACCTGTTTACTAACTGATGGATGTTCAAGGTTTTGTAATATAATAAGATACGATGCCGCAGTTTGTAGTCTTCCAGTATTCAAACATTCCTTGAATAAAATGTACAATTAAAAAAATCACTCGAAAAAACTTCACACAAGTRGACTAAGTCCTAGTTCAGACGTTGATCTTTCTGAAGCTTTTACGTCATGCACCGTATACGCAATGCATTGTATCGTATGTTTGGG